GGGAATTGTGAAGGATGTTCTGAGAAGTAAGTCTTGCAGTGAGGTAATGGGAGACTGGAAAGCCGGCTGGTGGAGTCCTCACAACTCAAAACTTCTACTAAAATTCAAGGATAATTAGTTGCAATCCAAGACTGTTAATACTCCCAGCCAAGTGAGAGTACTATAATGGCTACACATCTGGGCTTTCTCTCACTGTACTTTGCTGTTTGCAGCTGCCAAGACATCTAATAAGAGGTGTCTTAGTGAGAGAGGTGGTAGGGATCTTGGGGAGACCTTGTCAACAGCTGCAGCTCCTCTGACATGCCAAAGGGGAGGTGCTGGCTGCAAGGTGAGGGTAGCCATTGATTCTTTGTTGCTCTTCACCTTCTAAAAACCATAACTTTTTTTTTTTTTTTAACCAAAACCTTCTCTTAATGCTGTAGAAAGAGGATAGATAGGAAAGGGCCCCATATGTGTCTTTCTGTTTCCTCATATCACAGAAAACTTGACTGAGTCCACAGGCTTGACTTCTTCTTTACATAACAACCACATCACCTAAACTCTAATCTTCCCCATCACGCGGGGGACCCTCCGACGGGGGAGCATCAGCGGCATCACAGGGCATCATCAGGGCAGGATTTTATAGGTAATAATGAAGAGGAAACTTTTTTTTCTTAGGATTAACAGCTTGCTTGTGCCTCACAGTTTTTTAATTCGGATGAACCTCTGATGTTGGGCTTTTTCTAAATGTGAGAACATTCTTTCATTCTTCATTGAAACTATATAGTCCTCAGAAACAGATGCCAACCAGAGCCTCAGGAGAGGGTTTTTTTTTTTTTTTTTCCTTTCGCTTTAAAAAACAAAAAAAGAATTTGACCAAATCTTTACATGGACAATAGGAGCCCACATGAATCCACAGCTGCGAGTCAGCTAATCCGCAGTTGTACAAAAATTTGGAAGCATATCTTCCCATCAAGTAAAGTGGAGCACAGTGGCTGAGTCAGCCGGGGGGCTGAGGCAGGAATGTGCCACTTGGCAAGCTGTGGGGACTGAACAGCCTGCAGCCACAGGCCGCCCAGCTGCGGGTGCCCTCAGGCTCTGCTGAAATGCCTGGGGGCTGACTTTCACTAAGTCCTTCAGTGTGATGGAAAACACGATTCCCCTAACAAACAAGATGGTCTGAGAACCTTAAATGATCACTTTCTTGGGGTTTTTAGTTTGGTTTAGGGTAAGACTCCAATTGGGATGTGTCTCACGAATGCAGGCTCTGCTCCTTCTTCTGGTTGCGGCATCCTAACGCACGCCCTGGGAGATGGTGAGGACGGGTGAAGTGATGGGGTTCCTGGCATACATCTGGGGGACTTGGATTGAGTCTCTTCATCTCACTATTGGACCTCCAGCGGTTTGGGACATTTTGGGAGGCATCAGTGGCTGGAAGTTCTCTGTCTCTCAAATAAACAAATAATAAAGATAAGTTTATTTGTTTTCAGAGGATTTCTTCAAGACAGTGAGATATTACTTTGAGTGGGGGCAGGTGTCAATGCAACATTTCCTTGGGTGCTTTACACGCCTAACCCAGGAGTGAGAAGGCTTCACTTACTGACTCACATGTTGGGGAAATTTTCCTTTTTATCATTCGGTCAGCCCACCCAAATGTTCAGAATTCAGTAAAAATTGCCATTAAGATAACAAACATACCGTGGATTTTCGTATACACAGAACTTTCAAAAAGCTTATGAGAAATGCAGAATATGAACAAAATCTATTCGTGACTCCCAGAAAGTTTTTGCACCAAAATAGACATTCTTTAATTTCATTTTCATGAGCTTTTTGCAGTATTCTTGTAGGTGGCAAGAAGCACTCCTCTCTAAAACCAGCAAAAAAGCTAACAGCATGCCTTGCTAAAGAGATATGAGAGTTTTCCAGGTCTTACACCAACGGCCAAAATTATACTTGAACTTCAACAAACTTCAGAATATTTTTGGAAGGTGAAGTGGAGTTACATGGGGCCACGGTATCATCCTGCCTCTGTTCTTTCTGTGTGGCATGGGCCCTTTGATGTCTGTATCTGTGATGTGGCATCAAAGATGAGAAGACAGGAGCCTTCTCCTATCTGCAAGACAGGAGCCCCCGCCAGCCTTTGCCAACCACACACACACACACTGCTAAGCAAGCCCATGTCACAAGCATAAGTCACAAAGGCAGAGGAAACATCATGGCCCCCAGGCAGCCAAGGCATTTGGAGCCTACTTGCAGCATTAAACACATTTGGGGCTCTACAGACTGGAGATCGGGAATCTATTTCTGTTTCTCAAATCACTTAAAATGGGGACAAACTGAGAGGAAATGCTGCTTATTTTCACTCTAAATAAATGAATTCCATAGTTGGCTGAAGCTTCTCAGGATGCTCAGTTCTCACGTCTCACTTTCTATTTTTGATCATTTGACCTCATCCTCACTTCTACTCAGCTTTTCTTCCCCTTTTCCTTGCAGGAAAAATAAAACTAAAGCACCAGCCTAGGCTCATGCAAGACTGGAACACAAGAATGGGTCTCATTGCTTAGCGAAGCTTCCCACATCCAGGCTGGTCCCAGCCTGTCATGATGGAGCTGCACAAATGGGACACGCTGGAACCATTTATTTAAAAAGCTGGGCCATGACTCTCCAACGTACAAATGTGAAATCAATATTTCACTCAAGGGCATGCATTTGTGAGGTCTATAGCTAAGGAGCAGCTATGAAGGTTTGTGCTATCATATCCAATCTGAGGAATACATTAGGAATGCCAGAATTCCCTCATGACCAGTTTCCATGGGATCTTTGAAAAGACAACACATGAAGAACCTAACAACTATTATTCATGGATATCTGGCTTGGGGTTTTGAAACGCAGCTGCCAGAGAAAAAAATAGGCAGTCACTGTACTCCATGGAGGAAAAAGCATTAGGTAGATTTTTTTTTTTAACTTGTGTTTATTTTAAAGGCAGGGACACACACAACACGTGCAGACAGACAGAGAGAGAGAGAGAGAGAGAGAGAGAGAGAGAGAGAGAAACTTCTATTTGTTGATTTATTTCCCAAAATGCCCACAATAGCCAGCAGCTGAGCCAGACCAAAGCTAGGAGTCCTGAACTGAATCTGCACCTGCTATGTGGGTAGTAGTCCTGTTGCCATCAGCTGCTGCTGCCAGGGTTCACATCAGCAGGAAGCTGGAAGCAGAAGTGGAGCACAGCCTTCAGTCCAGGCACTGTGATGGGTGACATGGGCGTCCAAGCAGAGACTTCCCAGCTGTGCCATTTTCTCCTGTGGTACACTACAGCTACATATCTAGGCAGGCAGCTGTATGCATCAGCCATCTGAGGACTTCACTTGGGTCACACAAGCATGACTGCATTGAGCTTAATAAGAACCATGTGTTACAATCAAAACAACATCTGACCTTCATGCTTCAAATAGTAATGTATGCTTCTCAAGAGGGCTATTCAGCTAGACAGCTGTTGGGATGTTGATTCCCCCATTTTCAATTTGTCTTTGGCCTGGACAAATTTCTCATGTTTTAATACTTCTCTGGATATTGTTTTTCACCTTTTACCTCCTTAACTTAAATCTTTGGTTCACAGTTCACACACTAAATTGTTTTTAAGGTGAGGTCAAACAAAATCCATTCAATTTTTTTTTTTTTTTTGAGGAGAAGAGAGCTGCTATTTCAGAACAGAAATTCAGGTTACAGTTATTTTTAAAGATTAGGTTACTCAGGAATGACTCAAAATCCATTGGATTTAATGATTTCTCTGTGTGAATCAGAATAAAGAACACTTTCTTTGACTCAGACATGCTTTCTCTTGCCTCTTCAAAAATATTGAGACTTGTCACATAGTGGAGAAGTTAAATGAAAAAGAGAGAGAGAGCGAGAAGTTCATGATCTTAATTCAAAGTTTTCTACAAAACGATCTGTTCAGTGAGAAAGGGCGTCAGCACAGCACAGTGGTCAGGCACCTTGGTTTTGGAATTAGATCTACCTGAAGTTAAAAGCCTGCTCCACTGTCAGCTAAAAGAGTATAGGCAAGAGACTTAGCCTGTTCAAGGTTTCCTTTGCTCACGTAAGAAACAGGTACGCAAAGTACAGGCTGAGTCATCCTTATTCAAAAATCCCTGGGGCCAGATGTGTTTGAGACTTTTGGAGTTTTTCAGGTCTTGGAATATTTGCATAGACTAAAATGGGTGAGCAACTCAAATGTGAAACTGAGAATCACAGAGATCTGAAATTCTACCCTTTCTGAGTGCTGAAGACTCTCAAAAAGTTTTGGATTTGGAGCATTTCACATTTCACTTTGGCAGTGATCAACCTGCAAAGCTTATTTGAAAACTGAGTTTTCCAGTCTTTTTCATACAGAGGGGACAGCAGCTGCAAAATCCAAAAGGGAAAAGACGCGAAGGCCTTTAAAGATGCACCAAATTCCTCGTGAGGGAAGATAATGGGGAAGGATGAGGCTGGCTCAGTGTTTTGCGATTATACTGTCCCTCAAATACCATATTAAAGTAATCTGTCTGAGAAGGAATGCACGTTTGATCTGTGCTTGAAATAAAATGCTGCTGGAAAGAATGAACCAGAAGACACTTGGCATGGGCCCTTAGATCTTTTTCTGAACTGTCTTAATCCACTAATCCCTGTGGAGGATTTGAGTTTCAGATGGGGTTGATATTTATGACTAAACCCACTTCTCAAGGGCTGTCACAAACAGTTGACATATTTTATATCTCAATGCAAACCCTCTGATTAAAAAAATTTTAAAGCAAATGAACAAGTAAAATAAACAGCTTGAATTTACTGTGGGCTTACTTATAACAGCCATAGTAATGTTAATGTTGAAGAATGTAATGGAGTGATGATAATGTTGAACAACAAACAGGGACGGAGGGTACATTTCCTAATTTTGGCTTGGGTTACTGTCACTTTAACCTGTGTGTGCCAAGCCACTTCTGCGAGTATTGTCCTAATCTCCATGACATGTGAGCACTTACCTTCTTCCTTTGGATGTTCACATCAAGTTTCATGGAGGCACACTTGTTCAACGTGTTCAGTCGTCTAAAAGCAAAAAAAAAAGAATGATGGTTATCACTGTTGAACCTAAATCCTTCGTGTGATTTCATAATCATTCATTTACAATATTAGAATTGCAATTCTAGAAGCACACAGCTATGTCCCCAGGTGTCAGGACGATGCCTCCAGATGGCATATTAGAAAACAGCTGCCATCTGTGCTCTGGCCTCTGACCTCAAGGAGAATTTGCAACTAAGTCTTCTACTCTCCACCCTATCTTCCCTTTATCCCATTCTTGAAACACAATATCAGCCATTCTAATCATATTTTCAGTAGCTTTTCAATGTATTATCACCTTAACACACCATTTAAGTCTGTCCTGCTAATCTCCCTCCCCACTCCCCACCAAAGAATCAATTAAACAATCTCTCCTGCTTTCTGGTATGGAAAGAGAACTCACACTACAGTATTGAACTGTACATACTGTAGACTAAACTGTGTCCCTGAAAAACTTAATATTGATGTCCTAATGCCCAATGTGACTGTATGTGGAGTAAGAGGGCAATGAAAGACAAATAGGGTCATAAAGGAAGAGTCCTTATCAGACAGGATTAGTGTCCTTATCAGAAGAGACAGAAGAGTTAGCTTTATTGCTCTTGTGTCTCTTTCCCCCTCTCCCCGTGTGAGTATGTAGGCAGAAGGTGGCCGTCTGTGGTGGAAGAGAACTTTAGTAGGAACAAAACCCTGCCAGCATCTTGATGGGAGATTCTAGGCTCCAGAACTATAGGAAGGCTAATTTCTGTTGTTTAGGCCTCCCCTTGGCAGGGCTGTCATGACGGTCCATACTGACTCATACATATATTTTGAGTTTTCAGTAGGTAATCCCAAACTCAGGCCATCAAAAATGTCAGCCTTGCACCTCATTTGTAGGTACCAGTGCCAGTGAGAAAATATAAATGATTAGTCATGAATCCTGCTACGAATCCTTTCTTTCATCATGAGCATCTATATGCTAATTCTGCCATGCTTCACTTCCACATTATAAGAAAAATACCAGCCCTGTTCTTTTTTTAAAGCTGACCCTTTAATCCTGCTTTTGATTTCAATGTCTACTACGTCATCTGAGCTTTGGGTACCTCATTTATTCCCTCTCCCCTCAGCAGGCTCTCCTTACTGCTTCCCTCCCTTTGAGATAACTCCTTTCCTAGATAAATATAATTACCATTACTCAGCTACCTAAGGAATCATAATCAAGCCAACTCTCAATCTTCTTTCAAACTTATCTTTTCATCAAGCGTCTATAACTACTCCATCACTTGCCTTCTCTTCACTACTCAACTTGCTGAGAATATCAAATTTTATTGAATTTTCATTCTTTCACAATCTAATTTCCAGGAAACTCTTTTCTTCTGTTGTAAACACACTTGTTATTTTACTTGATTTCTTTGTGAAGATCACAATTAGGAACGTTTTATGGTGCAAAGAGCCAAACAGGACTCTGCCTATCCTTTTCTGTTCACTGCACTTTGGAGGCAACACTCTTAGCCCTCTCTTTCAGTGGTTATTTCTAGTACCATGCTTATGCTATTTCTTCTTGATCTTTCAGTCATGTAATTATTGACTTTGTTCTATGAAAGATGAAACTTTGATTATTATCCATTCCCAGTCTCTCATCATTGCACGTACACATGTGCACACACACACACTCATACTCACCCTTGGACAATTAAAAAGCTATGCTATAATTGATAATTTTTGGTAAGTGAATATTCAGTATTTATTATGAGCATGGAAATGCTATTCACATAAATATCATACTTTGATTACTTTTCATTCTCATCTTTCTGTTGCCTGTGGGATTAAGAAACATCTTGTTAATTTACTTCCTTAGTTTTTAAAAATAATATCATCTTTAAATTCAAACCTAAATGTAGGTGCTACTAGCTCTTCAGACTTAAATATAAAAACTGAACTCATGGCATTCTTTTCCAAAGTTGTTTTTCCTAGTTATTGTCTTTGCTTGACTAATAAACAGCATCATCAATCAGCCAATCAACCTAGAAAAATCAGTTGTCTTGAGATTCCCTTTCTTCAAGACCAAGATTCTTCTGAGCACTAAGTCCCATAAACTACTCTCTTTTAGGTCTTTGGAGTCTTTCCTTTTCTTCTGTCCTAATTCAATCTTTTCTCATCTTTCAGTAAGAGTCAGATAACAGACCCATAATTGACTACCACATCTACTGGTTCACACTGAAACCTATTCTATTTCCCAACTTTTTTTTTATATCATGTTAGTCACTGACTTAGAAATATTTGGTGTACACATTCATGACAAAATCAAAAATAATGAGCGATTTTGGATTGGAAGCTGGTCCTCCACTTGAAGTTCTTTTTGGTGGGTTCTTGGCCTTTGCTACCACAACTGACAGTCTGCTTCTTGGCCAGTTCCACATGTGTCAACATCTTTACCACAGAGTGGCATGTGAAGTTCAAAACAAAACAAATCTGGATGCTGCTCATTTGGCAAATCTGTAACAGGCTTGTTTAGGGAAAGATTGTCTGATATTTATAAAATTTACTTATCTAACAAATTGATGCCTTCATTATGGTTTGGAAACAGAAACAAATAATTCTATGAAAAAGTTTCTGATCTACCGTATACACAAGACATGAAAGGGTTCACTCAACCTTTATATACCACATATTTGAGTATACTTTAAACTTTCTGATATATGCAAGTCGTTTACTCCCATTAGTATCATCATTGCCACTATCATTATTATTTTAAGAGGCAGAGAAAGTAAGAGAAAGAAACAGAACTCCCATTCACTGTTTTTTCCCCCTCAAATGCCCACAATGTCTGGGGTTGGGGCTGGGAAAAAGCCAGGAACTGGGACCTCCATCCAGACCCACATGTTGGTGGCAGGAGAGTTTATTTACTTGAGTTATCACTGCTGCCCACTAAGGTCGGCTCTGCCAGGAAGCTGAAATTGGAAACTGGAGCAGGGACTCAGACTCAGGCATGCTGATACGGGATACAGGCATCATAACAAGCATCTTAACCATTAGATCACATACTTGCTCCTTGTTCTCCAAAGCTAGAGACTGACTAGATTTGGCTTTGCAATGTTGGGACCTCCACTTACCCATATTCTCAGGTATTTGTACCAATTGTTTTTCTACTTTGGGAAAATAGTTGCAAAGCACACACAGTATCTATGACATGCAGGAATATATAAAGATCATTTTTCAATAATAAGTAAAAAATCCCTGACATTTAAAATGAATAAAACATTTGAACAGACACTTTCAAGAGAAGATATATATAAATAAAAATAAGCAAGGGAAAATATATCCAATATCATTAATCATGGGAAAATGCAAATTGGAATAACAACATACCAGTATAAACATAGCAGAATGCCTAAAGCAAAACAACAAAGTGTTGGCAAAAATGCAGAACAATCTACACGTTCAAATAAGTGCAGTCTTTTTGGCAATCAGCTTGGCACTTTTTTTCTTCTATAAAATGTGACTTATTTTTAACATCTGATCCACCAATTCCACTCCTAGTTATGTAGTCAAGATACAGAAAAATCATATAGTCATAAAAAGGTTTGTACTTGATTGTGCATGGTATACATATTAATAAAACAGTAAAAATTATAATGAACCTAAATGTCTACTGACTGGTAGATGGAAATAAAACCAAGTATTTATACAAAGGAACACTCTGCAATTCAAGGCACTGACTACTAACACAATCAGCAAAATGGATGAATCTCTAAGCAATTATCCCAAATGAAGCAAATCACATATAAAGAGAATATACTATATACTATATAATGTACTATAATATGCTCTTTAGAACAAAATGTTTAATATTATGATTGTAATAGTTACATATATAAAAAATTCATGAGACCACATATTTCAAATTGGTGATTTAAAATGCAAATTATATATTAAGAAAATTGAGCTTAGAAAATGAAAAATGACCTTCATAAAAATAACAGGAATTATTGTGCTGGCAAATATTCTCAAAATCAACTTTTTAAAAGCTGAAAATTGATATAGGGTGACAACAAACTAAGATTTATTAAAGATAAATGCTTGAATGTGGCATATGAATGTGCCCTATTTCATTGCTTCTTTACCCAGCTCATCAGGAAGCTTTAAATCCAGTATCGCTGCAATCAGAGTAGCTGTAGGAACCAGCAGCCTGTCTGCCACTGGAGACATGGAATGAATTTAGGTTTACCCAGAATTTCTCCATTCCCAAGGATTTTCATTTTCTGAGTGGCCTGGGAGTTCCTTGAAAGACCCCATTCACAGGAATCATTTAATTTGATCTGACTCTAAGTGTTTTTGTTCAAGGTGCATGTCAAAAAAAAATTAGTGGCATTCATTTAACACCACAGCCACTTGAATTAGTGATGAGGGTCTAACCAAACAAGACACAGACCAAGAAGCTTAAAGGAAATAGCTGGAGAAGTGAGATTTCCTTGAACACTTAGAAAAGTTCCAACATATTTGCAGGAATTGAGAGGGCCAAGCACATACGTGCACTCTGTGCATCCCGAGGAAATCCCAGAGAAAGCCTTAATTGCCAAGCCTTGACTGATTTTGATCATCTACAAAGGCTAAGGCAAAGTTGTCAATTTCCCACTGAAGTGTTGAAACCCTTATGTGACTTGCACAAAGAGCTCCTCAGCCAAGGCTAGGTGACATACTGGTTCAACATGTCTAAAAAACGATCTGCCCAATCATTTTATGAGCACTAAATTAATTGAATAGAGACTTCAGTGATAATATATGACTTTGGGGAAAGGGTTGAGGAAAATCATGAAATAACAACAAAGATTTGATTTTGAGAGTAGACACACTGTAACATTAAAAATGTCCACTTCAACAAAAAAATTAAAAGTCAGTGGGTATTGACAAAATGATGCTAAAGTTTATATGAAGAGGGCAAAGATTTAGAGTGCTCAGCACAATTTTGGAAGAAAAAAAATAGGAAGACCGACAAGACCATCTATAAAGCC